TGCGCTGTCTCCGCCGCCTTATGCTTCGGATAAGCTTGGCTTTTTCGTGAATGAGTTCGAGTCGGCCAATGGTGTTCGGATCTCTTCTCTCGAGCTCGAAACCATCAAAGGTTCTTCCCTTTTCCCATATCCTTGTTTTGTATCTTTAAACGCTTCCCGATTTGGTCATGATTTACTTGTTGAGGAAGAACACTAGCTTGAGAACGCTGTTTGAGCAATTCCTTATTCTGGGTTTAAAACTTAGATTTTAAATCTTGAGTTTTGTTCGCTTTCAAAATTGTTCATATATGTAATGTTGATTCGGTTCGTCGGTGTCCGTAACGACAAAGTCTTAAAAAACTGTACCTCTGGCTCGATGATTGCAGACAAGAGTATAGTTGAACTATCTCAAGACTTTGTCCAAGATGTCAGCAACTTGGGAAAACATATAAAGACAGCTTTTGGGTCTTCATGGAAAGAGGTCCTTTGTGAAGGAATGCCTGTGGAAGGGAAAATTGATCCAGGGAACCCCTCTGTTCTCATTATTGGTTTGTCTGCTTTGAGATCTTTAGAGCTTCTAAGGTATTGCAATACAGTTATGATGTACTCTTACCATTGTCTATGGATAAAACGGAACCTTATCATGTCTCCATGTCTTTAGGGGTGTGAGTTCTCTGACCAAACAATGTTCTGCGGTGAAGTTGTTCTCGAAGCATTTGAAGGTTGAGGAACAGGTAGCGTCCTAATCTTGCAAAGATTTGGTTATAGAACTGTGAATTTAATTTAGTGCCAATGGAGAAATAGTTTGAATGAAACGTCAGATTTTTGAAGTGGGTTTAAATGAATGTTGTGTATTCATGTGGATTGATCTCTCCTGCACTGCCACGCCTATTATATCCCGTCGATAGTGAGATCTTGAGCATTTCAGTGTTATGCTTTTATCTCCTTTTTTCATCATGTGGATATATACTTTTGGCATCTGTTGAAATTTGGGATATGATGACAAGTACTAAATCTCTGAGGCTACTGCACTGCAGAACAAAATATATTTGCACGTCAGTCTGATCCCAAAGCTTTTTAATTGTTCTCATTATAAGTATCAAGAACTATTGCACAACTCGGGTTATTGATCCCTTGTCTTTTATGTTTTCCCTGATTTGAGTTAGTGTGATATCTTTTCAAATCGTATCATATTTCATTCATGTTTGTTCGATATTGAGACTTTGGGAAATGATGATACATATAAATAAGATATCAGAAGCACCTGCAATGCTGAATGTAATATTTGCACGTCAGTCAGATCCCAAAGTCTTGTTTTTGGCTTCTCTGTATATAAATTTCTTGCAAAAAATCTGCTTCTAGCCTTTCGTTTTATTGTCCTTTTCTTTTGCCATCAATATGTTGCTCTCTAAACTGAGGGATATGATGATCAACATCAACATCACCTTAATCCCAAGTTTATGTGGGGTCGGCCGTATGAATTCTTCGTTTCCGCTCATTTGTTCTGCTGAATAACCGTTTTTTGCACATCAGTCTGATCCCAAAATTCCCCATATATATTTTTCGTTCTTGTATTTCATCTGTTTGTACAAATACGTGCACATCCTATCCTGAAATACCCATGTAGTTGATATGTATGCCTCCAGCTTCTGATGTGAAAATGCTTTGATGCAGGTCTCTCTATTAAAGAACCGAGTTAATATTGGCAGTGGCACCCCAAGCAGGTTAGGACATTGTCCATTTGCAAGCTACTTGTCTTATCCAATCTATATAGTATTACATACACCCTTTTCCTTATCCATCTACTTAATAGTAAACATTGCTCTTTGCTGCTTATGCTTATGTTGTGTCTGCAGAATCAAAAAGCTAATAGACATAGAGGCATTGGGGCTTTCTCGGTTAGAGATGGTCGTCCTCGACCTGCAAACGGATCTGAAGGGCTTTTCCCTGTTCTCATTGCCCCAAGTCAGGTTTGTGTTCTTGACTGTCTAGACCAATCTATCTGTTACCGGAAATCGAACCTCAAGTTCCATTTCGGGCTTATGTTTTTTTTCTTTTCAGAAACGAATTCTGGGATCTGTACAAGAATTACTTTCACCAGCGAGTGCTGCAAGGCGCTCTCCGTATATGTCTATATGGTCCTATTCCAGCAGCTCAGGAGGAGAAGAAGAAGAAGAAGCAGCAGCAGCGTAAAGACAGAGAGAAGAGAGATGCAGACCGATAGTTAGTTTAACTGCTTCTGCTCAAATTTTGGTAACTGGTTCTTTGTCCCATTCTCACACTCCCTTGTCTGCATGTTTTATCATCATTACATATATATATGTATGTATATAAAGGATAATAGGAAATGCTTGAATGTCTGTTTGGCCAAAGCAACTCTTGGATGTGGTGGACAAAGATTCGTTGACATTTTTATGGGATTCGGTTGATTTTGTCGGAAGTCAAAGCTATTAAATAAACTGCTTTCACTTCTTAATTGAGGATGTTCATGGATTTTGTCTGAAAAAAAATACAGTGTAATGGTGTTGGAAACACCACTCAGAAAGCTTCTAGAAGTTTGACTTTGGAATGGAAGCTTCCATTATTTCTATTTCTTCCCACTCAAAACAATACAAATAAGGAAATGGCATTATATATAAAAATAAAACAATTTCAGAACGTTTGAATTCACTCTCCCACGCAAATTGTCTCCATCATTATATGAAATTATTTTATTATTTGGTGGCACTGTAAATATTCAATTATTCAAATGGTGTTTCTTTATCTAATAAAATGAATTTATAGACAGATACCTTTTTTTATATATTTTTTTCTAATATTATTTAATATTTTCCACGTTAATCCTTTACCATAATTGTTCTTTATCTAATAATTATACAATTTCTATGAATCTCAAACACCCATTTAAATTTAAATGAGTGCCAACTGTCCAACAGATACAAGGGAAGCGTAATGATAATATTTAGGGGACACCATTATATATTGTAAGGTATTAAATAAATATATGGAGGGCCGTGTTATAATAAAGACGATCCATATACAAGTGCAAAATTAAGGAAAGTCGTAAGCTGACGTGGATTTTTTAAAGCACACGTAATGCTGAGGCACAGTGTGTGTCACACCTTGGATTAGGTTAAACTAATTCATAGTTTTAAATTGTATCTAATAATCTTCTTTTGATTTATATGAATTACGTACTATAGAGGATAATCACGTGTGAAAAGGGATATATAATGTTTGATACTTAATTATTTTCCAAAAAAATTATTTTCCTTCGGAATCAATATTTATGATATGTTAAATTTCATAATTTTAGTTAGTGTATATAATATATATATATATATATAGTGGATGCATACCCAAAAGATTCGAACTTTATGTATGTGGTTTGCTTAGCATTTTACTAATAAAAGTGTATGTAAATTAATTATGAGTAATAGAATATATTTGATTGAGTGGGGAACAAATATGGATCGGCCATATGTCTCATATTTAAATTCAATTAAAGAAAATACAGGCGGTTGATATTGTATATCCAACCAAATCTAAATTGTCAAATTAACTTGATTTAGATATATTTTTACAGTCTTATTAAGAAATATAATTGAATATTCTATAATTAGGGTTGGATTTTGGAGTTTCGGACTGCCAGACAATAGAATTAGATTCAGCGTCAAAATTGTTTGGTATATAAATATTAAATCACTTTTACAAAAAAAAACAAAATAATAAAATATTTAATATTGGTAATTTATTTTTATAAAACAAAGTCGGTTCTCATGATGGTGAAATCATTGCAATTTAATTTTAGAAAGGAAAAAAAAACGAAAGCGATGAGTGGCAAATGTTTTGCTGACGTCAGCATGATCATGAAATTTCTAGAGCCCTTAATTGTCAGACGATCTCTTTCTTTTAAAAATAAACTAGAAGAGAACCGCGCGATGCGCGGGTTATTATTTATATATGTATTGATATATTTTTTATTAAATTTTTTAATATGAATATTATAAATTGATATAAATTATTTATTTAATATTGTTTAGTTTTATTGATAAAATTTAAATATTATAAAATTATTATTGTTCACTATATAGTAAAAATAGATCTATCATTTTGTAGACTTAATTTTTATGTTAATGATTTGTTCTTGGATTCTCTATTTTTTCCGATCTATACGAAATTTGTTTGTCATAAGTTACTAAAAAAAATGATATTATCAAATATTGTACTTGTGGTTTGTTTTGAAAATGATTAAATCTATATACTTTCTATCAAACCTTTGATGATATACATCTATCGTATAAAATATTTTTTTATTTATTTTGTTTGTAAAATTTATTGATATAAATGTATTTAAAATCGATATAAATTATTTATTTGATATAGAAAAAATATATCTTTTAAATTAATTATTATAAAACTAACATATATTATTTGTATAGAGAAGTAAAAGAGTGAATGAATAGGAGTGTCATTGTATAAGCGTTATATAGATTTGATGTCACCGAGTTGTTCTGATTGTATTCACTATCAATCTTTATTTTCTTCGATATCTATAAAAACTTTAGTTATAAAGATAATAAAAATGATATTTTTTAATATTATAGTTATGATTTTTTAAATATTAAATTTATATGTATGACATTGACTTTTTTATGATGTTTAATTTTTCACCTATATAATTTATTTAAATAATAATATGTTAACTGATAGTTGATTCATAAAAATGTGTTAGTATACTTAATACTGATATTATTTTATATATGAATCTATTAAATACGTAGGGATTTTTTTATGTTTTAATAATTATCTCGATTAGTTTTGGATTGACGACAACTATTTAATATTTATTCTGACATTTAACATGTCTATTTCTAAATAAATTATTCCTGCAAGATGATCTTGAAATCGCTAATAAGTAATATACCTCTCTTGTTTATTCTTTCATCCCATATCTTTAAAAATCTAATAATAATAAATTGATATCTATGATGTCTTCTCATCCGAACATTTTTTCTGTTTAATTTTTATGGATTAATTAATCTCATGTGAATTGTGATATAAATAGTTTAGATCATGTATTTCATAAATATCGACAAGAGGCATCTAATATAAAAAAAAAATGGGTTAGGATTGAGCCTCTATATCAATATATATATATATATATATATATATATATATATTGAGTGTTAAAACAGAGAGACATAGATATATAATACATAATTATCTCTAAATACAAATATTTTATATTATATGTCACTGGATACCTACATGATTAATGATCAAGTATGACATTATCTTGATGTTGCTATAGATGTATCTATCTATGTATCTATATAAGCATATTGTCTTATTTAGTGTTAATCCAGAATATGTAGACCAAGATCAAAGGCTTATCACAACTTAAAAATATATATAACATTGGTGGAGGAGGAGGTGAAGAAGAAGAAGAAAAAAACCTCAATCTGATAGAACCGTTATACTATGTCGAATGCTTCTCCTCATCATGTTGCAAAATGCTTGTTAATTTATTCTACCTTCCTTTTTCATTTGTTTAACAATTAATAAATTCGTCTCTCGTTTTTCTCGTGGACCCATTTTCTTCACCGTTATCTTCCATCCATCCGCTTCCTGTCCTTTGTCGTACTTGTGACACTTTACATTTTCTCTCTACTATTCACACCAATTAACTAACCATCATGTCATTAATTAATTACTCTCTGTCATACAAAAGTAAGTATGTAAGATAAATAAAAATGAAGGGGATAAGATTGTGCAAACTATAACTGAATATAATAAACCGAAATACAAAAAAAAAAATTCCCTTATCGAACCTCGTAGTTGTAATAGTAGGCATTACTTACAACCTTATTAGTGTAACTCTATTCTCGACGTTTAACGGAGAATTTTCTTTTCAAGAGTTCTCGAACCAAAATATACAATTTTTTTAGGGAAAACTAAAACGTTTAAAAATGTTTCGTGTGCAAAAGATAACATTGTTCCGATCATCCAAACCAAAGGGATAAGACTTCAACCCCATTTTACATCATGTCTGGTTTCCGACCATAACTTACCATTTCGCCTGAGAATTTTTCGGCGGCCGCCTCTGGGCTTTCTGACCAGTGTTGAATCATTGTCGTCGGATTGGATATAACTACTGCCATATCCTGGTCCTAGAGGTGGGAGCTTCTTCTTGGAACTTCTCCAGACTGTCGAGAGCTATGTTTATCCGTTGGCACCCATCTCTTGCGTTTCTCCATCCTCGCAAGCTCTTCATACTCTACGCAAACAATAAATCCCCAATATAAATCAATCGAAATCTGTGACCTGTAAAGATTTTTCAGAGCATGAAGCAAGTTGATGTTGAATCGAGTTTTATTTTCTAATCATCAACTGCTTGAATGTTGAATTTTATTTCAATAACTTGCAGAAAGAAGAGAACATGTTTAAACATGAAAAAATATGAAAACGTAATTGTCTTCCAATATTCAGTATTGTGTAATTAATGCAGGCTCTTCAATATTTTTATATGGATTGAATAAATTTGTTAATATAATTTTATATATTTTTAAGGATGAAGTATAGTCTTTAGTCTTATACTATGTGTCTTTACACATTGTGCTAAAAAAATTATATCAATATTTTTATTTGAATAGTATTGAAAAAGATTTACAATAATAAAATATACATAATATTTTCATTTAATTTTTATATAAAATGTTTCAATACACATTCATCTATATAAAGATATGATATTTTTACTATTTTTCAGTCATTTCTATACATAGAACATTCACTTCTATATCATTTTACAATGGTTATTATATTAATACGCAACCAAAAAATTGAGGATTTTCTCTGCACACTCTGCTTCTCAAACCATCTACCTATAAAAACTTCTTCTTTCTCCAATTCGAGACTAAAGTATACGTTATTTCTTTTGAATCATAAATTATAAAATTTCATCCTTAACAAAACCCCGAAAATGTCATCTCTTACAAAACGTTCAAATAATATATTATCTCCATTTTCTTTTTAATTAAATAAAGATCTTAATAACAAAAATTTTAATATTCGTTAATAGAATTTTAAAGATACCCTAAACCTTAAAACATTTAATTAAAAAGTTAGATATTTTTGTTATGTGAATATTTGTCAAATTTATTGATTATCAAAAATAAAATAGAACGTATGACGAATATTTTATATTTTATTTGTTCCTGATTTTGTTTTGTTTTTGTTATAAAATCTATATATATTCCAATATTCGATGTACAATAAACCATAATATATATATATATATATATATATATATAATCTTTGTAGCATAAATTTTCTTTTGGTATGACAATTGTATTATTATGAATAAACTATAAATCTTTCATATTATTGATTATCGATGACAAAATAACAAATAAATACTAAAAATAAGTGAAAATCTCAAAACAAATAATTTAACTTCTCAATTTTCACAAAATAAAATTTTAAATTTATTTTTTTTCCAAATAAAAACTAATCTTCGTTGTTAAATTATAAATATGGTTCATTTTAAAAATAACAACTATAAAATTTAGATTTATTTTCGCTTGAAAAACAAAATTGGAATTTTATTAGATAAAAAATCGAATTTAGTTTTTTTTTTCGAAAATTGAGAATTTTTTTTTTGTAATTTTTTAATAATAATTTTTTATATAATTGTATTTAGAAGTTAAATATAATATGTTTATCTAAAGGTTAGATCTAAAATGTTTAATTAAAAAAATTAGATATTTTTTGTTCTGTAAATATTTATAAATTTATTGATTATCAAAAATAAAATAGAACGTATAACGAATATTTTAGATTTTATTTGTTTCTAATTTTTTTTTGTTTTTATTATAAAATCTATATATATTCCAATATTCGATATATAATGAACCATAATCTATATATATATATATATATATATCTTTGTATCCTAAATCTTTTTGGGTAGGACAATTGTTTGGTTAAGAATAAACTATAAATCTTTCATGTATTGATTGTTGATGACAAGATAACAAAATCTCAAAAAATTAACTAAATTCCTCAATTTTCACAAAATAAAATTTAAAAAATATTTTTTTATGCAATAATTTCATATATTTTTTTAATAATTACTATGAATACTTTGAATTGAATTATTTTTAGATAAACATATATAAATTTAGATAATGTTATATTCTTTAATTTGTAACGAAAAAGTTGAGTATTAGGTTGGAGACTACATATGTGTATAATGTTAGGTGGTATGTAATTTTAAAATCGCATAATTTGGGTTTTGAAAATATAGATTGTCAATGTAGATGTACAAATATGGATGTATATTCTTGAAATACAATGTTTTTAATCATCCCAAATGTTATTAGGACAATGCTCACGTTACTATTAGGTGTAAACTCAACAACCTTAAGAAATAAATTTCTATATAATTAGACAATAGAACATAAATCAGTATTCCATTTCTTATAAAAAAAAATCAGTATTCCACTTTTTCTATATAGTTTTATTAAACAAAATCAGAAAAATTCAAATATGTCGATAAAAAACATAACAGAAAAGAAACCAACGTAACAACTATTTCATATCGATGTATAATTAAGTTCGGATATTCAAATTTATATTTATATTTAAAATAAATGAATATATATAATATTAAAAACAAATTAAGCGAGTTTTAGTGAGATTAAAAAATAAACAAAATAAGATAAAAAAAACAAAATTAGTTTCTTAAAAAAGGATAAACATGTCTGATCTGACCTCTAATAGAACTTAGATTGAAGCAAAAAATAAAAAAATAAAACTGAAGAATATATAGTTTTTAATAGTCAATAGGCACTAAGGAGAAAGAAAAAAAGAAACCAAAACAATTCTACAAAATGTAAGATTTAACAAATAAAAATAATAAAAAGAACTGAAACTAAAATACCACACCGATCATATCGACAAAGACCTCGTTTTAGCATATAATTCTCTCTGTTTACCATGGCAAGTAGCTTTGCATCTCTCTCCATTCACCAACGTTAACTCTACTACTGTTCCACATTAAAAAAAATGGTTGTATGAAAACTTTTTTACAACTTCCTTTTATCGAGTAGAGTTCAACAGCAGTTTCCAATGGTTGTATTAAAAAATGGTTTGCGGCTTTCCACATATTTTTATGATTCGGTTCGGATACGATTCGGTTCGTTTTTTAGATATTTTCGGTTTCGCTATGAAAGGGTTGAAAATAACCGCTAATCCAACCATCACATAAGTTTTTATGGCATAAGTTTCATGGATAATCTTAATTCTCCATGCTTAGATGACCAATTTGGTTTATAACCGAATAGTTGAACCGAACTGAATTGTATAACACAATCGTACCAAATTGAATCCAATATTAAAACCAAATTGTTAATTTTTCTCGAACACCAAAGAAACTGAAACTACTGAACCTATACCAAACTAAATAAAAAATAACCAATAAATCTATTTTTTTATATAAGTATTTTTTATCAATAGAAACCAGACCAAATCGAAATCAGACAAAATCGAACCGAACGAATTCAATATAAAAAACAAATGGTTTAATAAAACCAAACTAAATCTGAGCCGAAACCAAAATGATCATCCTAACTAATGGAAAAATAGAGCGAAACTCTATAAAAGCTGAAGCTATTTGTAAAATGACGGTGGCTATTCTAAACCAACCTCTTTTCCATGTTTTGCAATGCAACCCTTCGATGCTAAGGTTACGATGGCCCATCTGCAAGTCTGTCCATAAACGCGATTATGAAGTTAATAGATTTGGACTTGATAAAGGGTTAGATGAATAAAAAAAATAGACCGGTAAAATTGTATACTGAAGATTGTGGGAAGAAAACAGAAACATCACGTACCTTAACAGCTCGGTTGTTTCATCCTCAGCCGCAAAACAGAAGTCTGGTTAGAAAATTTACAAATTCAAAGAGAAAATTGTTTTTTTGTTTACAATAGAACACAAAATATACCATTTTTTCTTTTCGAAGCAATGTCTTCTTTAACGAAACTTGAGTCCAATTCATACAGAAGCAAAAATAGACACCCGAGAAAAAAAAAAATAACAGAACAAAGGACGAAAAGAAGAGAAGGATATCCAGGTCGTACCAATTCAAGCAGAAAATCCTTTGACTTTGGCTAGCAGCTGCGGCGGCTACAACCTTCCCAACGGATCATTTGGTACACATACTTAAAAAAATCTGGATCATAGCATGCTTTGTAAATTGTAAAAATTTGTAAAACTTTTAGACAAAAAATAAGTTGTCATTTTTTAACTACCAAATATACAGGCGTGTATTCATACGAATCTACCCAAAAAGACAACTGAAATCATTACCTACCGAATTGAACGTGTATTCGCACTCAGACGCAAGGAGCAAGAATCTGTTAACGCCGACATTCTGGAATCCATTTTGCATTCCTTTGGATAACCACAAAGAGGAGTTGTAAGAAGCTCCAAGCCACCACAACGTAAATACATATCTGTATATTATATTAATACATGCTGAATTTGGTAGGCAGTGGCTTCAATTGTTATTAATAATTAATTCTGTCTTTTCAATACACCATAACTTAAAAATATTTATTAGTATTACCACTAACCAATCAAAAATTAATTAGAACATAATAAATAATAAACGTGATTATTAGTGGCTCATCAATATGACGTTGTAAATATCAATACGTTGTTAATGTAAATCTTAAATATAATTTTAGTGGGCTCATCAATATGGATTTTATTGATAGTTTTAACTTTTTATTTTATTAAATAGAATACGTTGTAATTTAATGTAGTCCAACCGTTTATGTTTATATATAATATAATAAATATGAGATTTCTATTTTTAAAATTCTAATGATTCATTGCCTGTTTTTATCATTTTTATTAACATAAAATCATTAAGATTAAAAATAATTCTGAAATATAAAGTAATCAAATAAAAATCCCCAATAATATAAAAAGTTAATGTCAAAATGTTTTTTATATAATAAAAATGAGTTTTTGTAATTAGAATAATCTATTGATATTCTTGAAAAGTATTATTTATATGTAGAAATTAATGATAATCTATTTTTTAACATAATTTTTTATAGTGAGATTTTCTAATTTATCTATTAATGCTTATCATTTCATTTTGTATTAATTATTTAATGTTTTTTAGTTAATTCTATAATAAATTTTTTTGTATAGCCAATAGAAAACTTTAAAATTTACATGTAGGATGCTTAGGTGGCTTCACCACAATCCTTTAAACTCTTTTATTAATATATATAGATTTACGAACTTTTAAAAAATTCTATACAAAATAACAAATTTTAGAAATTTCTACACAAAATCATAAAATTTATAAATCTTACTATATTTTCACATATTTATTAACATTATGAATTTTATAACTTCCATATAAAACAATGAATTTATGAATTTTGCAGTAATATATCTATATTAATAAAATTATGATTGTATATAAAAATTATTAATTTATGATTTTATATGAAATTTTTTAAAAGTTTCTAATTTTTTTAGATGTTTATCCTTTAATTTATTACAAAAAATAAAGATAAAAGCCCAAAAAAGTTAAAACATTTATTAGAACAGTCTAAAAAACATAGTATATTCACAAGAGCCGATTCGATGACGCAAACGTTACATGTGTCTTATGTATGCACATGCTGACGTGTCAATCCCTTTAGTGACACGTTGGGTATATCGATTAGCCATATAAATAAAAATGGAGAAGGATTTAAATGCAAATATATAAAAATATTATAATGATGGTGTACTAACTGGTCTCCAAAGGTTAGGGGCAAACATTAACTGATGTATCTAACTTCAATTTATATAGGAATTAGTAAGAAAGCCTATTTCGACAATTATTTATATGATTTAAAAGTTATATATATATATATATAGTATTTTCAATAAACAAATGAATTTCTCAATAGGTACATATTAGGATATTCCTAAAGTTTGCACTTGGAGTTTTTTGAGAATATGATTTTTCCTTACTAGTCATATTCACATCTTTTACGAATCTAATTCAATAACAAAATATGCGTTTATAATAATTAGTTACGAATATATTTCATAGAGATAAACCGTATATAATATAATAAAAATTATTCTGTTTATCTAAGTTTTAATGATTCAATTGCTAACGGATGGAGCAAATATCTTTTATAAATTAGGTTCGAGTTTTTATTTGGAGAAAGATATTCGTATCTATTTTTTCAATTTTTTTGAAAGATAGAATTGAACAAAAAAGACGATAAAATTTCGAAGTATAAAAAAAAACATTAACTCACCTCTACGTGTAAAATATAAAATAAACTTAAAAAGACTATATAGAAGCTTGGAACATGATGACGAAAGCCTGACGCAAACATCGCCGTTGGTCCAAACTATTGAGCCATGAGAATCCGTGGGACCCACCCGCTCACGCCTTCCTCCTCGAAGTCACATTTCCTCTATATATACACACAGACACACCCAATTTCTTTTCATCGACACAGACCCATTTGGGAAAAAATCGAATTTCAAATCGGAAAACGTATATTTGTTGCATGAGAGCAGCAGTTACCAGAGGGAAATTGCTAGGGTTTCTTCAGCGATCATCCATCTCCAGCAGAGGCCGTCCTGTCGGGAATTCGAGCCGTCTGTTCAGAAACGCCATGTCTGATTCTTCCGACCGTGCCGTACCCAGACCCGTCGTCAAGAAGGTCTCAGCGAAGCTTCAGAAGGAAGGCGATGGCGCCGTCGTCAGAAGAGGCATTGGCAGGTTCGATGCTCTGTTCTGTTTTCTGATCACTTGCTTCAACAACTCTTCTGGTCCTGAATCCATTTTGTCTGGTCTCGATCTGTTTTTTTCGGTTCTTGTGGGTGGTTAATTCAGGAGCGAGCTCAAGTTCTTGGATCCATTCCTGATACTCGATGAATTCTCCGGTAATATATAAATCTCGTCCACCATTGTCAGAAAGTTTGAAACTTTCACTTTGATGAACATATATTCATAGGGTCTCTTTATCTTTATGGACAGTTTCCCCTCCTGCTGGATTTCCAGATCATCCTCACCGAGGTTGTTGACTCTCTATTCTTTGGATATATTCATATATATACACATATACTATTCGCATATATACACGCACAGAGATATATACAGAAGCATGTTTGTGGTATTGCATCTGATGTGTATGAATATATAATGTCAATATGCAGGCTTCGAGACTGTGACATATGTGCTGCAGGTGAGAGAGAATTACATCTCTGTCTGGTTCAAAATCTTGTCCCTTCATTAAATGTTTTACGAGAAAATCTGAAACTAGTCGTTTTGGTTAATAACTTGTGCAGGGAGGCATCACTCACCAAGACTTCAAAGGCCACAAGGGCACAATCTACGCGGGAGATGTTCAGGTATCAGAAATCAGAGATTATACATTACAGACAGATAAAAAATCTCTCAAAAGGGTTTCGGTATCGATCCGGAAACAGGGGGCTGGAGCTTGAAACTCCGGGTTTTTCGAAGTTTCCGATCTGACGGGTTCGATTCCTTTTGTGACAGTGGATGACAGCGGGAAGAGGAATCATCCATTCAGAAATGCCGGAAGAAGAAGTCAACAGAGGGTTACAGCTTTGGGTCAACCTCTCCTCCAGAGACAAAATGTGAGAAAAACTCGATTGCCCTTTTCAAATTTCTGTCTGAAACTGGTAAAGATCTCAGCTTTCTAGGTTCCCCGACCGTAAAGATTGAAGCTTTTTCTGTCTCAAACCTAACAGGATAGAGCCAAACTACCAAGAACTGTCGAGTTCAGACATCCCGAGAGCAGAGAAAGACGGGGTCGAGGTCAGAATCATAGCCGGAGAATCGATGGGAATCCAATCTCCTGTCTACACGAGAACACCGACAATGTTCCTGGACTTTGTCCTAAAGCCGGGAGCTAACTTCCACCAGAACATTCCAGAATCTTGGACGGCCTTCTCGTACATTCTAGAAGGAGAAGGCACTTTCTCGCCAAACTCGTCGCCTGTACCGCCGCACCACGTCGTGGTGTTCGGGCAAGCGGGGGATGGCGTCAGCGTGTGGAACAAGTCATCCAGGTCTCTGAGGTTCGTGCTGATCGCTGGTGAGCCCATCGGGGAGCCAGTGGTTCAGTACGGACCGTTCGTGATGAATTCAGAAGCCGAGATCGATCAGACCATCGAAGACTATCACTATGCCAAGAATGGGTTCGAAATGGCTAAGTATTGGAGTTCACAATGAGTCATAAAAAGAAAAGAATCAATCCCTGAGGGATAAAACACAGTTTCTTCTGTATTGTTTTTTTTTTGTGTAATTTCTGTTTATTTTTATTTTTATTTTGGTTTTATAACTTATTTATGATAATGTTATATTCTTATCCATAATAGGTGATTTCTAATCAGTTTGTCAGCTTATTTCGAATTCCTAATGTTCAGACCGTCGTATTGACAAATGAGACAAACTTTTTTTTTCCCTTTAAATTCTTAAATATTAAATTGAATAAAACAAAAATTAAATAAAAAACAATACCCAATCATACTTCATCTTTGCCACCTTATCAAACGCGTAATATGGGTTCACTGTCAACACACGCAATGTCAGAAACCCAACACCTACACGTGCGTAAGGAACACGTTTTCTGTTTAGAAACGTGTGTATACTTATAAGTCATATATATATATATATATATTAATATGGAACTTCATTGTTTCTTTGCCCAACTACATATTCTAAAAGTTCAGAAAATATAGATGGATACACTTCTCTAAATAGAAATTTGAATCTGAATTGAGAATGAGTTTAGTTAAGTGAACATTTAAACCCGTTATCCGCGGGTATATGGATACCCGATCTCGTGGATATCCGAAAAATGGGTATTCGACATCTAACGAAGACGAAAACAAGTATTAAAAAGTGAAATACCCGTCATACGGGTTCGAGTTTCATATATTGAAATAACGGGTACTCACGGGTACCCGTGTATTTATTAAAATTACAAAATTATCCTTATATTCTTAATATAATACAAAAATACTCACGTTATTTCTACTATTTTTTGAGGATTATATATTGAATTTTCAAGTTTTGGTGAATTTAAATTCAAATCATTTTGTATTTTCGAAAATTTTTCTAGGATTCTATGCATATTGTTATATTTTAAGAATTTTCAAACATATAAATGTGTTTTTGGACTAAAATATGTATATTTTTGTTAATTATTTGGTTTAATTTTATATTGTTTAATGTTTTATGTACAAGTACAGGTATTCGCGGGTACCCGTATTTTAGTTATGGGTAACCGTTGGACGGGTACCCGGATGTTGTGAGATAGAGACAGAGATAACATTTCTCTAAAACCCACAAAGACGAAAACGAAGATGAGTATCTCTAAAAACGCGGGTACCCGACCCGTGCCCAACCCTAAGTTAAGCCATTCAAATTTATTTCTTATATATAGAAATACACTTATATATATATATACATAAAAGTAAGACAGAAAACGTCGTTGCTTTGCTTGCTTCACACGGTTCGTTCACTTCTGTTAAGTGTCAGATAGTTTCAGTTGCATGCTTCCGACCAGCTTTGCTGTAAATCTCGAAAGCTGTCTTCACATGGGTTGAGTTCAGTGGCGAGCCTTCATCATGCCCACATAGATACATATATATATATATATATAATATACTGACACATATTGAAACATATATAACTATGCAAGTATGTTTGCGATGAGAGGTTCAAAATTAAGCTGGGCTTTCATTAATCAAACGTTGAAAGAAAACCCGATTTTCCTCGTATGAAATCCAATATCAAAACGTTTTGGGCATATAATATATACACGAAAATGCATGTTTTGATCGTAAATTGCGGAAACTACTTCAGATTCGAACGTGTTATTGCGGAATGCCTGCCAAAACCAGACTTGGAAAACGTGTTTCTTCCAACCTCCAAAATCCTCGGAACTGAAGTGGTTTCTTCTTGTATTGTCTATAAGGTTTCCCTCTTCGAGCTATCATAAAAGTAAGACAGAAAACATCGATAATGGATCACCTCTTGCATGCGCCGCAAGTACATTTCTCCATCTCCGTTTGCAGTTTCTACAGAAAGAGAGTTGAAAAATGGTCGTTGAATCATCAAATCGGTTTGTTAATAATTAATCCATTTGCAGTTACACATTGATCAATTTGAGTTTATTCAATTCATGAAATTTGAATGAATGTACTCATTACTACATATACTTGAATATGCCTATGAATGCATGTAATTGTAACTTGTCCTGATTACTAACAGATGATCCTTGAAACCATATATATATATATATATATACACACACACTATATATAGTTGAGTTCATAAAACAAGTATATGTGTATTTATTATAACATGTTCATATATATGAAGAGATCTCTAATTTGTAACCGGAGAAACATATATATAGGAAATATTATTAAGGCACCTCTACTTGGTGTTGAAGCCCTTTGATATGCTCCACAGCCAAATCCAACATGTCAGCATAGCTAGTTTGCTGCCAAAATCTCAAAAGCAAAAAGCTCAATTGGTTATACATGTTATATATACATATATACGTATTCTTTGTATAATATAAGGAATATCCCAAAATAATACATGAATTTCTCAATTTTGACAAAATAAAATCTGAACTTTGTTTTTTATCAAATAAAACCTGAACTTCATGTTTCAGTCAAAAATAAATCTGAACTTTACAATCTTTGTTATTTTTAACCCTATTGCTGACGTGGCGTTCCGACATCTTACGTGGCAAGTCAACATTTTGACCGTATTTGACACATCATCGTCCACGTGTCACGATATCGGAATGTCGCGTCAGCAACAGAGTTAAAAATGATAAAGATTATAAAGTTCAGGTTTATTTTTTACTAAAAAATGAAGTTCAGGTTTTATTTGATAAAAAACAAAGTTTAGGTTTTATTTTGTCAAAATTGAAAAGTTCATGTATTATTTTGGGATTTTCCCTATAATATATAACACATCAAAGATTTAGCTCCCACCTTGTCCATATTGGGAACCAATTCTTGCAACTTCTTCAGTTTTCCACTTATTCTTGTTCTTCTCTCCTATATATGTAATTACGAAGAATATATATATATACACACACACACACAAAGACACACTACAAAAGCTTATAACTATATCCTTTTGTAATATTTAGTTAATCAGTTATATATATGCAATTACGAATCAGAAAAAGACTTGGTTACCCTTTCGGCGATGCTTCGAGGGTGAGTAGCACAGCCGCGTTTCGCTCGGATCCTGCAAGGGACCGAGTCTTCCGGTATGCTCATCAAGTTCTCCATTCTTGCAATCTCCATAGACGTTTGTGGCATGCTGAACTGATATTCAAACCCCCAATCAAAATCACTTATATGTACAATACACAGATACACACGCATCACCAAAACTATATAAACATCACATTTTCACACATTTTTTATAGCCATCTATCTTGTTAGATGCAAATTATATATGGTGTTTCCTTAGCTATTATAACTTTTTAATATATATATATATATATATATATATATATAACGCTCAAGAACACAGAAGATATAACCTGCAAGTCATCATGTATATATGCTATATAATTCATAAGGTTCATGCCAAAATATAAAAGCTTTTTAGTGATGAAGCATGCCATATAGTTGTAACTTGTAGTATACATACCCATAGAGGCATACATACATATATAGAGAAATAGTGACCATAAAAAGATTGGTTTTGGTGGCCAATCAACTAAACGTAAGATACCACATAGAAAAAGATTAGGTACCTAACCTATAGGATTCATTGGATTATACATCAACCTTCACATCTCATCAATATATATATGCATGCACGCTTGTACACACACAAACATACATATACATATACATATACATATACATACATATATAGATAGACACATATATACCTGAGTTTCTAGGGTGAAGAAGTCGGTAGTCTTGGACCGTTTTCCGGGTTGATCAATGGTGAAACTGATGTGGTTTGAAGATGGAGTATCCCAAGAGTGATGATGATGATTCTCTATTCCAAAGCTCATAGAGCTGCTCGACGGAGCTTTAACGCCGGCGTTAATGGCGGGGGGCGTGAAGATGGAGTATCCCAAGAGTGATGATGATGATTCTCTATTCCAAAGCTCATAGAGCTGCTCGACGGAGCTTTAACGCCGGCGTTAATGGCGGTTGCCGCCTCCGCCTCCGCCTCCGAGATCCTCGACACAGAATGCGCCGCCGCAAATCTCAGCTCCGCCTTCGTCCTCGACGGCGGCCTCCGTTCTCCTCCGCCGCCGCTTGGTCGTCCAAACGAGAAACCTGTTTCCCCATCCATCAACAAAAAAAGTTTTTTTTTTCCTTTCTTTTCTCGAGAGAGAAGAAAAAATGAGAGAGAGAGAGAGAGGTAGGGTTACTTTCATTGGTTTAGACAATAATTAAAAATAAAATATCAAATTAAAGAGGAATAGGTCATGGAAAACCCAATCCCTTTTGTCTTTATACGTAAATTATTATTTTTCAATTTGGCCGTTGGATTAAAAAAAAATAGAATTTAAATAGAATCGTTTAGAGAAACTGTTTGAAATCCACTACACACAAAAATAATTTACTCAATTTTAAAATGATAACGACTGTTCTAGATGCTACATTAATTTGTGACTATAGATTGATAGATATTTAATGCATGATAAATGATAATTATATATAGAGTGAACAAATAATTGGTCAATTACATAATATTACTTTATAGAAAACCAGAATTTTGTTTTTATTATAAATGCAAGATGGTACGTCCCTCGGGTGGCGCACATAGATTCCCGAATCTGAATAACCAAAAACCACGACAAAATATGAAACCTTTTTTCTTTTGCAAAAAAAAAAAAAAATTTAAAGAAATGAAAACTATGGAGACAAAATGCAAGCGAAGGGCATATCCAAAGATATAATAGGAAAGTGTATGTAATCAGGCCACGTCAGCACAAGACTGGGGGCCACGCCCGAGTGGTTGTGGGCCCTGCAGGCTGCTTTGTCAGAAACTAAGCAAGTGGATAAATATATGATTATTCCAACGGCAAGTGGACTATAATTTCTCTGTATTCCTTTTATAATATGAGCAATTTGCACAAGTTGCAAAATTTTTAAATCCACAACTTGCTAACCCCTTATGAAAAGTACATGAATATAAAACATGTATATACATACATACATACGTACATAAATACGTACATATATATATACATACAAGGCACGTAGATGTGAGCAAAATCCACACTTAGATTCTAAAAACAGAAACTGAAAGAGAAGGGTGTATATGACTAGATATTTCAAAATACGGTGTCTGTCAATATCCAATTTTACAATGTATAATAATATTAAAACATTTAAAAGTTTAGTTTTTTAACGTGTCTCGAATTTCATGTCAAAGGCAAACTGCTGTATACCTTTTTTTAAAGGAGGGTCGAGAGAAATCATATTAATTTCAAAATTCATTTGCAATTAAATTAGCTTATTAGAACCATAAATTGTAATTTCCAGTTTATATATATATGTATAATTCTTAAATTTAAAACAACTTATTGATACACAGTTTTATGGAGAAAAAAAATATAAGATTTATACATTAATCTAAAATAGTGCAAATAGATAAATTATCTGTTGAAAACACTAAAAGAACATCCGTTTTTTTAAAAAAATCGTTATACAAAATCATAATAATATGTTATATACAATTTATGATGTGCTAATATTTAAAATTTTTGACCAATTAAAAATATCAATAGCATGTACTGAAACGATTAAAATGAATACGACACATACGTGATTCAGTAACATGGCAAACATAGACATAAAAAAAAAAAAAAAAAAAAGCTGATCAAAACTTGAGATGCTACATATGCAAATTATGCAATTAAAATGAAATAATGGGGGTATAAATCATAAAAAGGGAAATTATGGGGGCAGAAACATAAAATAGATAGAAGTTACTGTTGCGATCGGTGGAAGAAAGCTGTTGATTGAAGAATCCAGGAGGAGAGCTTTGATGTCGGAACAAAGACGAAGAGGACGCAACTCCACTACTGTCTTCTTCTATCTGATCATTGAACCCGTATGTTCCGGCGACTTTCCGGCAATCTGATTCTCCGACAACCACATTCCGATTGCCGGAATCCAATCCGAAGGAAGAAGAACAAGAAGAATCTCCGGCGAAGTAATGCCCCACGACGTTTGGACCGCGGTGCCAAATCGGTGGCGGCGGCGGGTG